GAAGCAGAAAGTGCACAGAAGGTGCATGACATTTACAAGGACCTAGGAGGAGTGCCAGGCAACATTGACGTCATTTACGACGGCACGTGGATGACGAGGGGGCACAGAAGTCATATTGGCGTGGGCTGTGTAATCGAGTTGTACACAGGCTTGGTCTTGGACCACTGTGTCCTGTCCAACTACTGCCAAGGCTGTGCTGTTGGCCCCAAGCCTGGTGACGACAACTATGAGGAGTGGCTTGAGAAACACAAGCCACAGTGCCAAAAGAACACCGATGCTAATGCAGGCCAAATGGAAGTAGAAGCAGCGAGGATCATGTTTGAAAGATCGTTTACCAAGTACAAGCTTCGATACATCAATGTGCTCTGCGACGGTGACAGCCGTACGTACCTTGCCCTCACGCAAGACAAGGTGTATGGCTACATGTTGATTAAGAAACAGGAGTGTGTGAACCATGTGAAAAAAAGAATGGGCACTTCCTTGCGCAACCTTCTTGATGAGCACAAATCCAAAGGCCGAGGACTGAGCATGGGTGGCAAAGGCCGGCTGACGCAGGGCCTTATAAAGAAGTTGACGAATTATTATGGCTGGGCCATTAAGAGCCACCCCAACGATGTTCCTGGCATGGAGAGGGCCATCATGGCCACTTATTACCATGTAACATCCACAGACCAGGATCCACACCACGACCTGTGCCCAAGTGGGACTGACTCCTGGTGCCCGCACAATCAGGCATTGGCCAAGGGAGAGCCGCTGCCGCCTCACAAACATAAACTGCCCCCTCACGTGCGAGTGGCACTGCTGCCAATCTACAAGCGCCTCTCGAACAAAGAGCTCCTTGAAAGGTGTGCGCAGGGAAAAACCCAGAACGCTGTGGAGAGTATGAACAGCCTCATTTGGTCACTCCAGTCCAAGAGCCAGTTCGCCTCCCTTCGAAGTGTGGAAAGTGCAGTTGCAGATGCAGTCTGCCGTTTCAATGGTGGCTGCAAGAGTGCGCTGCAAGAGATCACTGCTCAACTGGGCTTCAATCCAGGAGACTGCTCTTTGCGGCGAGCAGCCGAAAAGGATGCCAAAAGGGTAAAGAGGGCTCAAAAGGCGCATTGTTCCACGACAAAGAAGCGCAAAACTGGGTTGCGCTCTACAGAGGCCAAGGCCACAGCATCTCAGGATTACTGCCCAGGAGGATTCTGAGTGTTTTAGGCATGTTGTGAACTTCCAAACAAGAGTGAACTTTCAAAGTCAGTTTTCTCAACTCTTGATTTTCGCCTATGTGCCTTCGCTAGAACATCTGTCATTTTCTAACAAAGACTGATAGAGTCGTTCCGTTTTTTGCACTAGGCTCAGGAGGCCTTTAGCAGTGCAATAAAGCTTTATCTCTCTTCTTACTCATCATTTAAAATTTTTAGAACACATTTTATAATTACTGCGATGTGTGCGCAAAACAACATCCATGTTTTGGAAATTTTATTTATGGTTACAAGAACTAGAAAAATCAACTAATAGCTTCTTTGCACAAGTTGATGCTTTGGGAACATAATAATATGAAAAAATAATTTCATTTAGCAATAATTATCTCTTTAAGTGTGAAGAGCATTAATTAGTATAATTATGCTTGTAACTCAAAAAATACAAGAGGTATTTGAAAACGGTTTTCATATTTGGAATCCTCACAATCATCCACATACACACACCAAGTTTCATCACAAACAGTACATTAATAAAAAAATTAGTTTTACTTGCCACGTCCCCCCTTAAAGCCCCGATTGTTATACAACATCTTATGCACCACTTTACGGCATAATCATGTCCTGCCGTAGCACATTAAAGGGACTCTGAAACTGTTTTTTGAAGTGTTATCAGCGTTTAGGTTAGAGCATCATCAAACCATTCGCATCACAAATTTAGTAACACGCTGTGTACCAAAACCACTACGGACAATTATATCTACTCTCCTCCTCACCTCTACCTAGCCTCAACTCATGATGCACACTGGTGATTGCAGAGCTCTCATGAGCACACACGCTGATTTAATAAGCTTTTACCAGTCTAGACCTCCGAGATCACATGACGACAGGTTGCGCGCAGTTTTGCAGGCCATCACACACGCGATCTGGCAACAGAGATGATCGCGGAGAGGTTCATATCTGCTCCGACAGGTGCCTCCACCCTACCGGCCAATCTTACTTCCGTACATTCTACAGACCACGACAGCCATTCTACAGACCACGACAGCCTATCAGATCAGCAGCCACGGTGACGTCAAGTGACCAGAGCATGTTGCTCTATATATGCACGTTTGAAAACGCATTTGGCCGAGTCGCAGCGATATGCATTTATCTGCAGTGATTCGCAGCTTCAAAGCATTGTATAAATTACAATTTACACAGAGAGCTCAAATTGGTCTCTAAATGACCCTTAGGTCTACCAACCCAATGTGTGTGTACAAAATCGCTAAAACCGTTTCAGGGTCCCTTTAACATGCTTCCTTGTTATGTTTTGTGTTTTATTTTCTTTCCATTTTGCTGATTTAGTGAGTGCAGCTGTGTTTAACTTAGTTTTCTCTGAAACCTACAATTTACTGGGCAACACAGTATCAAAGGCCACCTGTGGCAGTGCCTCCGACAGACACCCCTACTTTGGAAAATAGCGTGTGCCTGGCACCTTCGGGACTAAAAGCATCACTCTGCAAAAAAAGTTCAGTTCTGCTAATTGTAAGCGGAACTGGCCCCTCTGTATCCAACTATAGTAGCGTGCAGCATGTCATTAACTAAGGTCACACCTTCACTGCGGAACTTTCGCTGGACAGCATATACAGCAGAATCTCGATCATACGAACTTGAACGGAACACGCAAAATATTTATGTTATCCCCAAATTCGTATGAACCAAAAACAAGTTAAAGCTGATATTAATGGTGAATAAAACTTTATTGGCAACTACTCATTCCTGAAAGAAGTCGACGACGTTCTTTCGAACTTTCCTGCCTTCACAATCTCTCAATGAAGTGCCGCGGTTGCTCATGACTCGTGCTACTACTTCTCGACAGCGCCGACGCAATCCCCAGCCGACGCCTTTGTGCCATATTGAATTAGCAGCTGTGACGCACGCCTAATGTACGTGTTGAAACATGCCTGCGTCACCTCTATCGCTTCACCCTCTCCACCACTCGAGCGCATGTGGAGAGTCTACTGTACATGCTTGCTAAGGGAGTGTTTGTACAGTTAGGTTCCTATATGCCTATTCTACTCTTTGCCGTGCATGAGTAATGAGTGAGCGTCATGTTGGGTCAGAACGACAATGGCAAACTGCTTTCGTTTCTGCAAAAAACTTGCACTGCCCGGTCCACTTAGTGGTCTCACACAAGAAGGCTGCAGTTAACAGCAGCACAGAATGTTTGGATCGCAGTCTACAAATGCAGTGTAGCATCATTTACATAGCACTACACTACCTGTGCAGAAGGAATCAGGTAGTTAAAAATAAGTATAATAGGGCTGCTAACATTAGACCGTACTGGTGCATTTGTAGGTGGATACCATTTCGCCTTCAGTTTGCAGATTGATTCTTATCCCAGCCATGCTCGAATGATTGGCTGACCAGCCTCTATACTTACTGTGAAGGCAGGAGACCTTTTAATGCTGTAGTGTACTCGTATCCCGAAGGATTACGGCCACTAGCATGGGTCCTGTCTCAACTAGCCCGCAGGGGTGGCAGGCTAGCCTCGATTCCCACAGTGCATATTGAGAAATTTGCATATTACTCATTGAGTGGTCCCTATGACCTTCAAGGAATGTGATCCTAGTATGCAACAAACAATAGGCACAGCACAAGCCATGATGGATAGTGGTCAGCAAATATATTAGGCTGAATAGAGACACATTCGGGGATTTTCCAGAACTACACTTTAACCATCTGTATTTCTAGACCGGGCACACATAAACAAGGTTTTACTGTACATGAAATTGTGGCCCTATTCGCACAAAACTCAGTGGAGCACATGTCATGCATCTGTATCATGCACTAGCCCATATGCATGCTGGGGCTTGAAAGCACGAGCAACCATGAAATCCCTCAGGCATAAACAATGATTATGCTGCCCAATGTAAGAATTGGTATTACTGGTGGTCTTCAATTGTTTAAAAGTTGGCTTCCACAAGATATATCAGCTTGGTTCTTTAGACGAATCCATGCAGATGACTAGTGCTAAAAGTTGAATACAACCTGAACAAATTACTACTTAAGATCCAGCTTGTGAGACGATTTTATCCGACTAGCCCACTTCATGATCAATGTGTTGCGTGATTATGTGCACAGTGGACTCAATAAGCTATCACACCTGTACTATTTCAATGAGAAGTAAACATCACTACAGGCGCAGGTCGGCTTACTGCTGTAAAAAAAAAAATATTCATGCTGTTAAGCGACACCTTGGTGCAGGCCCAAGACAGTCCTGCTTTCAAATTCAGCGATTTAGACCTACGACACGCTGGTTAATATAACTGTTCATGCACGCTCGTGTAACAAAAAAAGTGTTGTTACCAAACAGCACACCTGCAAGCAAATGCACATGGAGTGCAGGTGCCTCGTCTATATGTGTGCATGTCTCAAGCAAACTGACCAGGACGTGAACAAATGAAGCCTTTTGGACAAACATGACAGTGAGGTGATGAAACAAAGCTGCTTGCATACCTTTTCAACAACAAACTTACACGTTCATTTGCAAATGTACGAAAAGTGAATGAATGTGCAAACAATAAATTATCGGCACAAAATCAAAACTGAGGGCGCTTTTTAACTATACAAGTAACAAGTCCAAACTACATGATATCTATCTGCCCAAAGAACACAATGCAGGATGTTACTTTATATCCCCAAGGACACTTTCTCAGGCCTATTTGCTCTGAACGAGTCATGCACACAAAGCTGGGGTCCCCATGCTCAACACCATGCTGTAGCCCAGCACACACGCACACACACAGGCATGATAAGGGTTAGCACACACACCTTTTGCTTCGAATTCGGGTCCCCTCTCTGAGAAGATTTACGACTCTGCAAAGGGAAACGTTGCAAAGCACACGCTGGTTGGCACAGCAGCTGTTAAAGAGTGACAGCCCTGACGGCTCAGCATATGGCACATGTTCCACACAGCTTGCCTCATTTCACACAAGTGCCCAACAAGGAAAAGCACACTTCAAGCTGAGACTGAGGTGGCAGTTAAAATAAATTGCATGTTCATTTCAGTTCTCATATACTCAAGCAGCTGGAGAGTGAGGCTCTTAGTGTATTGCAAGTAACAGTCAAAAGACTGTGCTGCAAAGGGATCCAGTGCAGCACAACTGCCTGCAGTTAGCCTACAAGTTCCCACGAGAGAAACATTTCAATGCCTTGAAAGTGCCGGCAGTATAGTCCTTATTTCCTCAAATAGACATACACAACGTTAGCTGTACTAAAAAATAAAGTGATGCAAACTGAATCTGAGAACTTGACGTAATACTCAAGGTACGCAGTGGCCAGAAATAGAAAAGACAGACAATTCAGAAAGTAATGACATTTTCCTGCGACCATAATGCAAATTAGAAGGCAGCTATACGTACACAATTAAGCATATGCTAACCAATATTACCATGTCTCCACAGTAATAACAGTGCCTAGTGTTTTTGCAACTAGCCAAAGCAACTTATAAATTTCAGATGATAAGTTGCAAATGATCAATCTTGTGGCAGGAAACCACTTTTGAGTTTTTTAGCATCTGTACCACCACAGCCTTGATATATAACATTCTACAAGACTTACAATTGCCTGCATGAATGGTACAGCAGACAGAACTATGTGTCATCACAACTGTAGTCTCAATTTCGCAGCTTCTCTGGCGAACTAACTTAACCTTTTCCTGTACCAAAAGAGCCAATACAATTTTTTTTACTATGTTCGTTGAAATAACAAAAGAAAGTTTCTCAAGTGGATTTGATTTGCAAGGGAAAACAGCATGAATGTATCATATAATAAATTTACATGATGTAACCTACTCTATTGATAACGGTGTAACTGCTGCCTGCGGGAGCGCGACTCCTGGCTGTTTTTACACACAGAATGTCGCGCAACAGGGAAATTCTGCCCAACTAGCGAATTCAAGCTCCATTAACAAATCTATGTAGAGGGCACTAGTTAAACCACAGTGCAGTGTACAAGACAATCGATGCACTAAGCAAAAGTGTATCGAGATTAATCCATCAACCAAGAAAGAAGGGCAGACTCGCAGCAACATATGTCACACTCCATTGTTGTTAGAAGCTAAGCATGAATAAGCGAATACAGCGACTTGTAGGCCCTGGGCTCCAGGGCATGGTGCCTTAGATCAAATTCCAAACAAAACTCCCTCCAAATTTCACCGCTGTGAAAATTTCCATGCCGCTCCGGGGAAAGCTATCGCAATTCCTCTGCTCAGGATGCAGTTCTAGGTATAAGACAGGTGCAGCAAAAATAATTTGATTGTACCCAAAACGCAAATGCCAACTAATTTCGGAAAAGCTGTAATGTTTAAAAGCGGCTTCTCTTTGCCGAGATCCTAGTGTAATGATAGCTCACCAAAGGTCTTGCCCACCCCTGTTGAACAATCAGCTGGCCTGCAAGGTGACTCTTAAATTATATTCTCCAGTTTCAATGTGGCTGAAGTTATTAAGGAGAAAAGCGGCGAATAATAAACCCCTATTTGGACAGCAAACAACCAGCAAAACTGATCAAAATGTGTCATGTTCCCAATATTTTAATTATTGATGGTCAATAAGTGTGCAAATAATAGCAGAGATCAAATATTGAAACCCCCTTTACAGAACACTGTTAGCAACAATTTCAAAAAGCAGAATGTGTGTGAAAAACAGATTCCAAAACTCAATGATTGACCATAAGAAACACCAAGAGTTGACCATCAGCTACATTTTGGCACTTAGCAGTAATGAAACATGTAGCATATACAACTCTTAGAAGCACCAAAGTACAAGATTGATTAACATATGGGGTCTAATGTCCCAAAACCACCATATGATTATGAGAGATTGTCGTAGTGGAGGGCTCCGGAAATTTTGGCCGCCTGGGATTCTTTAACGTGCACCCAAATCTGAGCACACAGGCCTACAGCATTTCTGCTTCACCAAAGTACCAGATGGCCAATTTAAAGTCCTCTCTACTTAAAGGGGCCCTGAAACACTTTTTTAGTCTCCACAAAATTAATTCACTAGAAGAGCTTAGTGCCTCACAAATTCAACGCCAAAAAAAAAATTTTAAGAATCCGTCCAGTACGAGCGAAGTTACAAAGATTTGTCACACGCTGCTATCGCATTCTCTCTTCTTTCGTCCCGACGAAAGCGCTAAAAACTAAGAAGGGAGGGATGGGAGGAGCTAACAAAAAACGTCATGCGCGCCTCGTGACCTTCAGCACTCCCCCACCCCCCCCTCTTAGAATATGCGGATTTTTCAGTGAGATTGTCCCCGCATGCGTGCCATGTTCAAATCAGCCAATGGCTGATAGATGGGAATTCTACAAGCGATTTTTGAGCATTTTTTGTCATTTGTCGAGGGAAGAGAAAGCAATTTTTTGCAGACTTTGAAAATTTATCGTGACTTCCAGACCGCGTGCTGCACTAAAAGATTTGGCTCGCGTGTTCTCGGGAGCCTCTATTACCGATCGGCAGTGCTTTCCGACTATGCCCAAAAAGTGTTGCAGAGCCCTTTTAAGAAGCAGGAGTGAGAATAAAAGTGAACACCGTGCTGTCGTTTTAATAGCGAGGATGTGGTACACAAAGGATTCCTATCGCAAACAGAAAGCTGCCTATTAGCAGTATGTGGATGCGCTAGAAAGACGAAGAAGGGTTGTCCTAAAGACAGCCAACATCGTGCATTTGTACCAAAACAATACTTCCAGTCTCCTCTCTGCGCATCCAGGAGTCCCTGACGAGCACAAATTAGCAACGCTTCCAGCCCACCATTAGTCATGACCAAGCAGTGGCATTGACTATTTTCTGTTTCAGAAAATCAGGACTGACCTAAATGTGGTGCATTTTGGGACCAGATATCCAAACGACCACTCAAAACAAGACTCCTATTGACAAGTACACAATGTGTTTTTCCCATATTTGTCACGTGGTTGGATAAATTAACTTAAGGGGAGACGCGGGTCGAAAAGTCGCGTTTTTTTTCCAAATTTCACCTTTTCTGTTTTTTGTTGCTTTATCATCTTTATACATTATATTTTGACATCTGAAAATATCACAGCGAAATAAGCATCAGAAGTCAGTGAAAAACGCGTCTGAGTGAGCGGCAGTGACGCGCGGCATCACGAAATTTACACAAAACGGGCTGCTGTTCGCGTGCTCGCGGGGCCGCGAAGAGAGCTGTCCGCCATATTGCGGCCGCTGGCTCGTGTAGAGTTGTCCTTACTCTCCACGATCCCGGTTCTTGAAGTCTCGTACGTTCACGAAAAATCTAAAAAAAAAGCAACAAAAACAGTCTTTTCCCGCCGTTTCAAACCGCGCGCCACTAACGCAGGGCCGCCATTGGCTGACAGCGCCCGTGTTTTCTTGCCGTAGCTCGCTTCACTGTTTTCCGGAGTTATTTTTCGCTGTTTTCGTGCGATGGCAAGCCCGAAAAAGGCCGTTGCCGACCATCGGAAATACAGAAGTAAGAACAAGTTCAGAGGGAAGCGGCGGAGGACGTACAAGAAAGCCACCGCCAACGAAAATGTCCGCGACGGGCCAGCGGCCGGTAGGCCTAACATCGACCACGGCAACGTCGACCATGGCAACTGCGACGACGAGATCAACGCTGCAGTGAATTTTGTGAGTGCATCGCAGAAAAAGATCGCGTTATTCGAAAACGACGTCAGGCCGAATGCCGATCGTGCCGAAAGCGTAGTGCTGTGCGAGTTGGGTGCATTGACGGCCGTCGTCGCAGGCGCGGCATGCCCCGTTTGTCACGAGAGTAAACTCGCAGTTCGGGCACCGAATAAAAAGCGGAAAGGCCTTTCGGCGTTTCTGGAGCTACACTGCGAGAATGCGGAGTGCTCGGAGAGCATCCTTTCGTCCGCGTACTCGTCGAAGCGGGTCGCGTCAGATGGCGGCCGCGGTGCAAGCAGAAGCTACGACAGCGGGAGTTCGCGTGACGCCTTTGCCGTGAACCTGAAAGTGGTGCTTGCAGCGCGTGCCGTCGGTATCGGGCATGAGCAACTTTCACGATTTTGTGCAGTAGTTGGATTGCCAAACCCTATGCACCATAAGACCTTCCATGCTATCGGCAAAAAGATTCACAGTGCGGCAGTGAAGGCTGTCTGTGAAAACATGCAAAGGGCACGCAGCGTCACCAAAGAGGTGGCTGGTAACAGTGACGTGCCAGTCATGTTTGACGGCACATGGCAAAAAAGAGGCCACAAAAGCCACAATGGTGTGGGAACTGTAGTGTCCTTGGACACTGGTTTGTGCCTGGACTATGAAGTGCTTTCCAACTTCTGCCTGGCGTGCAGTTTGCATAACGACATGGGAGGCGATGAAGAAACATGGCAGGCGTTTCATCATCCCGTTTGTGAGAAGAATTGCGACTGTTCTTCGCATGCCATGGAGGCCGAAGCTGCAGTGCGCATTTGGCAGAGGACTGTGGACTATGAGACACCCCTGCGGTTCACCATCTTCCTAAGCGATGGAGACAGCAAGGCCTACAACGGGGTCTGTGATGCCAACGTGTACCCTGACACTCCAATTGAAAAGAGGAGTGCACCAACCACGTGGCGAAACGTCTGGGCACCGGCCTGCGGAAGCTGCCAACGCCACTTCCACGAGGGGAGAAGCTGAAGGAGACCACCATCCAGAAGCTTCAAACTTACTTTCAGGTGGCCATTGTGAACAATCGGGGAAATGTCCACAAGATGTACACTGCCATATGGGCCTCATGTTTGCACTCGTGCTCAACAGACGGTGCTGGAAGTCACAAGTTCTGTCCTGCAGGCCCAGACTCGTGGTGCAAGCACCGACGTGCTGAGGCGCAGGGCCAGCCTGCACCGTGCC